GGGCCACCCACTGCCCCCAGCGCCTGCGCCCCGCGGCACGTACCCGGGACAAGCTCCCCGGCGTCCGCAGCGAGGGCGCCCGGCCCAGGGTCTCCGGGGACGTGCGCAGCTCTTGCGTTCATTTGCAACCGACCGCACACGAACCGGAAAATAGTATCCCAAAGGCTTACGGACTCGTCAGACCGCACCTGAAAACCCAGCCCACCCCGGGGCAGCTGCTCCAGCCAGGAAAGCCGAGGACACCCAGCCCCAGCGCCCCAGGCCAGCTCCCCTCCACTCCTTCCCGGAGGAGTCACCCCCAGAAGGCCAGACCCCACCAAGTAAGGACCCCCACTCCTGTCCGACCCATCAAAAACCCCGGAGAGTTTCCAAATGCCTCGGATTCTCCCAGAGCCGAGAACATTTTAGAGATATTAACTCCCCAATTTCCCTGTGCCGGGGGCCCCTCCCTTTCCAGCCCAGCGCTCTGCAGCTTCCTGGAGCACCACTCAGAGCGAGGGCGCAAACCTCCAGGAACACTGTTTTGGAAGCTGGAGGCAGGCCTCATGGGTAGGTCAGGGAGCCACAGAGTGGGTCACAGGCAGGTGTGGATTGTCAGTGAGGCAGATCCGTCCATGTTCCCAGACCACCCATCCGAAAACAGCATTAGTGGCCCCAGGCACTTGATGCATGGATGCCCCCTGCAGACAGCTCGTGCCCTCCGGGTCTCCACTGCAGAAGCGCTGCTGGCAGGGAGCAGGGACAGCTCGGCGGCTACAGGGGTGTCCCCTCTGGGACGCCACGTGCAGAGCGAAGGGGGGCCCCCACAGTGTGGTTCCACAGGGCTCTGTCTGCACGCCACTTTCCACACACTTTCTGCCTTATCGCTTCCATTGTGGACCGTTTTGTCGCACGGACATCTTCCCCGTTCCACCCAGGAATGAGAACTGAGTTTCTTCACTGGGGCTCGGTCCACAGGGACGGCTCCCTCGTGTGGAATTACCCTGCTGCCCCTGACTGTGGACCTTATGAGCTCCAACTCTCAGATGGGAATGATGCATCTTCCACAGGGGTCCATTAGTGTTGGGGGAGATCCCAAAAAATCGCTGTGGTTGGTGGGTTCTGATCAGATTACATTGCCTCCATCTCTCGCTCACCAGATCGAACCAGCCAGCACCAAGACACCTTGGTTAGTCTGCTTTTCAAAATTCAGGCTCAGTGGTCACAGGTAACCCTCCAAGGTGTGTTGGTGCAGCCTGAGTCTGCTGGCTGCTTTCTGGAAGTGCAGTAGGAGCCAGCTCAGGAAACAGGAAAGCCCTTGGTGGCAACCACACGGGTAAGTGCCCTCCTGCACCCTCCGTCCCTGGGGTTCTCCGAGCTACCGAGCTGCTTGTCCACTCGCTGGTCACTTCCCATGTCTCTTCCTGCCTGTTAGTCCCCGACTTTAAGGTCATCTGTGAGGGAGCCTTCCTGGCGCCCAGTGACCTCGCAGGGCCCCAGCCCTGAAACTCTGGCCCGTTGCCCCCCTGCCATTTTTATCTTGAATTTTTATGGAGAACGTGGTGAAACTGTATGAAGATGTAGGTTATGATGCCCGCTATGGTCTGAATGTGTAATTTCCCCCTCCCCTGAAATTTTCATGTTGAAATCCGGGCTACAAAGTGACAGTTTCAGGAGGCGGGACCTCTGGGAGGTGACTTGGCCCTGACATGGAGCCCTTGTGCTGCGATCAGAGCCCCCCCCCCGATCAAGGAGACCCAGAGAGCCCCCCATCCCTTCCTCCATGTGAGGACAGCCTGAATGAACCAAGACAAAGTTGTCCGGGATGACCCAGAGGTGACCTCTCGTGGCCTCCCCCTGCCTCCCCCAGGGCGACGTTTTGCAGAAGTGCAGTAGGGACCAGAGCCAGGGTGCGGAACTCAGACACACCCCTCTTCAGATTTCTCCGCTTTTTGGTACTCTTTTGTTTTGTGCAACTGTGGTACCAGCACGTTCAAGACACTGAATTCACCGTCCATCCCCGAAAGGCCCCCTCGTTGCCCTGCAAGAGCCCACCCCATCTCCCCCCAGCACCCCTCCACACCCCCACACCCCCAAGGCCCTGCATCCTCTAATCACTCCTGAATTTCTAAAGCTTGTCATTTTGAAACTGCTACGTGCATGGAAACACAGTCTCTCAGCTTTTGGAGCTGGCTTTTCCCACTCAGCAGAATTCCCTGGAGATGCGTCCATGCTGAGTGCATCCCTCGCTGGTTCCCTTTGGTTGCCAAGCGGTGTTCCACGATGTGTGTGCGCCGGCCTGTTAACCACTCACGTGCTGGGAGACACCCAGGCGGTGTCCGGTTTTAGGCGTTCATGATAAAACTGCGATGAAATTCAACGTGCAGGTTTTTGTGTGAACGTGTCTTCATTCCCCTGGGTTAAAATCCAGGAGAGCAAATTCTGGGCTGTGTGGTCGCCGTGCATTTAATCTCACGGGAACCTGCCAGACTGTCTCCCAGAGCAGCTGCCGTATGTCACGTCCCCACAAGCCGCGGCTGTGAGACCCACTTTCTCTGACTCCCGCTCCCCCGTGGTTGGTGTCATTACTTCCCATTTCAGCGATGTCTCACTGCGGTTTTAACTTGCATTTCCCTGAAGTTGAGTGATGCTCAGCACCTTCGACGTGGGTCCTCTGTGGTGCAAACTCGTTCATGTCTTTCCCCACTTGTCTCCTTGGATCGTTGGGTTTTGGCTATTTTTGTTGCGATTTGAGGATTCTTTATTGGACGAGTCATTTATAAATACTTTCTCCCAGTCTATAGCTCGTCTGTTTATCCTCTTCATGTGAATTTTCACAGGGAAATTTTTTTTTCAAGTTTGATGAGATCAACTTAGCCATGTTCCCATTCGCAGCTCATGCTTCTTTTTCGCCGAGTCTAAAAACGCTTTGCCTCGCCCTAGATCATGAGGATTTCCTCCTGTGTTTTTTCATCGAAGTTTTAGTTCTATATTATTGCACCCTCTTGTGTTTTTTTTTATTTCTAATTGTGGGGGTAGAGTTTTATATTATTGTTTTCGACTACAGTTTCGTATTAAAGTTTTATGTTTTAGGTCTAAGTCCATGGTCCATTTTTAGGTGGGATGTTTGGGTGAAACTTCTTGGTTTTGGGTTTGGGGCAGATTTTTTTTTGCACACACATGTTCATGGCGGCGGCGCTATTTCTTGAAAAGCCTCTCCTTCCTGCACTGAATTGCTTCACAGCCGTGTCAGAAGCTGGTGGAGCTTGCTCGTGCGAGGATTTCTGGGTTTTCTGGCCTGTCCTGGTCATCTGTGTGTCAGTCTTGCCCTGTTTGGGAAGCTGGATTTTACACTGGGCCCCACCCTGGGCTCTGCCTGCTGACTCCAGTTTTAGCAAGAATCCTGCCCAGTGGATTTGGTGGAAATTCCCCGCCCTTGGTGTCATGGGCTGTTTATTTCCCCCACCTTCGTATGCTGAAGCCCCACCGGACAATGCAGTGTGCCAGGAGGGGCGGCTTTGGGAGGGGTTCTGGTCGGATGAGGTCATGAGGGTGCGGCCCCCAAGATGGGATTAGCGCCCTGATCAGAATCAAACAGGATCTGGCTTCTCCACTCTGCTCTCTACCACGTGAGGACAAAACTCGTGGCTGTCCACAGCGCAGAGGAGGGTCCCCACCAGAACCCGGCCATGCTGCCACCGTGAGCTCAGACCTCCAGCCTCCAGGCCTATGGGAAATAAACCTCTTTTCTGTATAAGCCACCCCGTCTGTTGCTCCTGGTCTAGCAGCCCAAAGGGACTGGGACCCGGGTATGGGGTCACCCTGTATGTCCGGGGTATCTGATCAGAGTCCTCGTCCCCCGCCCTGGGTGTGTCATCGCCCTGGCCTGCCTGCAGCAGGACTCCTGCTGGGTCAGTCTATGCCTACACCCTGGATAAGAGCGTCTAGCCTTCTGCGGCAACGTGGGTGAGCTTGGAGAGCATTATGCGGAGTGAACTAAGTCAGACAGAGAAAGACAAGTACCGTGAGATACCACTTCTGTGTGGAGTCCAATGAACACAGCAAATGAATTTAACAAAAAAACAGACCCACAGATGCAGAGAACAAACTTGTGGTTACCAGCGGAAGGCGGGAAGCAGGCCGGGAAAACATAGGGACAGGAGATGAAGTAAGCCACCGGGATCTATGGCACAGCTCAGGGAATGCAGCCGGCATTTCCTAATAACTTATGGGGTGTGACCTTTAAAAATTGTGCATCACTGTATTGTGCACCCATCAACTTAAATACTACTGCGCATCGACTACACTTCAATTAAAAATATTTCTGGAAAGAAATTAAGGCGTTCTCAGGCAGAAACAGTATAGTGTGTTGCAGAACTTTTAGTACCAACACACAGCAGGTTCAGAACAAAACCTCTGCATTTATGAACAGCGTTGGGGTCGGTCACTGGGCGGCGTCTCTCAAAGGACAGCTCATATGTGAGTTACATCTTACCACCTGGAGTGTTCGCTGTGGGACCGGGATTTGTGCTTTTTGGGGACGGAGCACGGTATTAAGCTTGTTAAAATTGCACAAATTGCTTCGAAGCCGTGCAAACTTTCCTCTCTCGGGATAAAAGGGGATGAACACGATCTTGTGTGTATTGCCCTTGCTTGTCAGTATCTGCAGATCTCGAGCTCCCCGTCTGGCCCTTCCCACCCCCTCCCCCGTGGCAACCACGAGTTTGTGTTCTATGCCTGCGGGTCTGTTCCTGTTTTGTATTTATGTTCATTTGTCTTTTTCTTTTCTTTTCTTTTTTTAGATCTCGGGGTAGCTCACAGTGAAGAGGAATGCAGCAAGGAGGACACGTACGTTCATGTACGACTGAAAAATTGTGCTCTGTGCTGGAAATTGACACAACATTGTACACTGACTGTAACTCAGAATAAGATTTAAAAATAAAATATTTCTTACCCTCCTGCTTGTGTCCTTCCACGTTTGCGATGCTGGTTTGTCCTTTGTCTGTGTTATTTTATCTTCTATGTGATGCCATCACTCATACGTGTCATCATTTGGCACATAAGGCAGCATCCCCAATGTTTTTCCTTTTTTATTGTAAAATTTTTTTAAATGTCCCTCATATATGACAATTAGGAGACGCTGAGATAACAGGAAAAAAAAGGGGGGTCAGGATCCGGGCGCTTTCTGAGGATGCTTCCTGGGCCTGAGTGGGCCCGTGGGAGGGCTGTGGGCTTCACCCCCTTCCACCCTCTTCTCCGCTCGCACTTCTGCTGTCACAGCATGTCTCTTCGCGTCTTTCCTCGTCTCCACTAACTTCTGCTTCACTTCCCAGAGAGCTCGATGTCTGGGCCCATCTGGGCTCTGGACAAACGGGAACTAAATCCATTAGCCGGAGGTTAGAACCACTGCTTTCTCCCGGGATGCTGGCTCTCCTGCGGGTACGCGGGCCTCCCTTCACGGGCACGGTGACCGGGAAATTAAGCACTGGATTTTACGGCTGACACCGTGTCAGACGTTGTGTTAGGAACCTTGTGGATCTTTGACTCATCCTCACGACAGCCCTTGGATAGGAGGTGCCTCCTTTTTACGAAAGAGGCAGCGAGACCCAGAGCTAAGCTCCCTGCGCTGAGGCTGCAGTGATCTGAGGTTGCCGGGCGCCTGCCAGAAGACACGTCAGAGCAGGGAGGGGAGGGCGCAGCTCAGGCGTAGAGCATGTGCTTAGCATGCACGAGGTCCTGGGTTCCATCCCCAGCACCTCCTCTACCAACAAATAGGTAAATAAAACAAATCACTTCCCCCCAAAAATTAAAATTGCAAATTAAAAAAAAATCAGGGCACTACAAGGTGAGGTGTGTGTGCATACACATATTTAATTAAACACATTTTGCGGATTTTAACTGACAATTTATATCTAGTATGATCTTGCCAGATTTTTTCTCTTTTGGAAAAAAAGTCCTTTACATCAGAGCAAGCAGATGGGACGTATGACTCTTCTGGTTTCGCTGTGTGTGTGTTTGCTGAGTATCAGCAAGCAGAAGGGTCCCTGCAGGACTGGCTTTTCCAATCACAGACCCCGGCTGCCCTGTGAGGAGCAGACCTGGTCTCACGTCCTGACTCCAAATTCTGTCCTCCCCCGAAAGCACAGGTTTCCATTACTCGAACACCCTGAGAAGGGGGCTCCAGGCTCGTAGGCTGCTGATACCTGCTCCTGATGGTTGTTCCTCGGGGGGAGGGTCTGAGCATGGGGCAAGGACTGAGGTGGAGGAAGGAAGGGTGGCGGGCAGAGGGAGAAAAGAGAAAAACCAGCGCCTGCTCTGATGCCCCGCTGTCTCCATTCAACACCCGCAGCCCCCCGTGTTCACACTTCCTTCCAGGCCGCAGCCTCCTCCCGCGGGAGCACCAGTCCGGCCAGAGGTTTCTCACACCTGTGCTCAACCAAGCATCGCACTGACAACGTGTACGTTTTAGGTAAGCAGCGCACAATAAACTTCTTCTGGGAAAGAAGCAGAAAGCTCTCTGCCTTTACCTGACTCTGAAAACCCTCCAGCAGAAAAGTGTTCTTTTATTAACGCGTTGAACGTACAAAACACAAAACTACGCTTTCACGCTGAGTGCAAACAGTAACAGAATTCATAAAATGCGAGAATTCAGTCCGATGATGAAAACATTTTTAAGATTGCTAAGTGAAATATGAAAATTAAACGTTTTTCCCTAAAGGATACAAAATAATGAATGTTTAATATTATGGATCTCAGTTTATGCCAAAAATACTAGCAAAGAGTGAAAAGTAGCAAATGCTACAATGTTTTTATAGTAAATGTTTAAAACTTCAAGGCATAGTAAGTGTATCTTTTTCTTAGTTATAAACTGTATCACAATATCGTGGAATTAAATTTTTTTTGTAACAGAAAAATTATTTCTATAAGGATGACAGACGGAGTATGAGAAAGGCTTCAAGCTTTTGGAGGGAGTCTAAGCAATCCATTTCCATAGAGATAGTGCCAGCGGGGGTCCGCACAGTCGGAGGGGAGTGGCTGTCTCCAGACACGGGGACGTCCCCAGCCAGCAAGGCGGAGCATCAACAGGGCCACCTGCGCGATGTCCCAGAGAAACGCAAGGAACAGACCCCGACACCTGCACGCCTATGTGCCGGTGGCGGCAAGCCTGCCCTCAGGTGAACTAGCTCACAAGCATCTATGTTAATCACACGTAGCAGGGGCCTCAGAAACAGCTGTCACGTAGGTCACGTGAGGAAGCGATCCTAAACGCCTACTGGATCGAGGCTTACTCGAGCTCTGCTGGAGTTGATGCAGACAGAACTGCAAAGAGGAACAAAGAAAAGAGTCGATGGGTAAAGAGACGGACAAGCATGACATTTTTTTTTAATAAACTAAAAAAAAAATTAACCTCTTGATTTTTCTTGAGTTGTTTGTTCTCTGAGGGGAAGGCATGGGTCTTATTCCTTGATTTCCGCTTGGAGGCAGCACTGGGGATTGAACCCAGGACCTGCCGGGGGCTGAGCATGCGCTCCACCACTTGAGCGATATCCTTTCCAATATCCTCTTAATTTTAAATAAAATAAATTACGTATCTGTGTACCTATTTATCAGGACTATTCCTGAAGTCTACACAAAAAGCCTAGCGCACAGTGCCACCCACAGGCACAGAGCTTACACTGGAAACACCAGTCCCCAGTGTGCACACCGTAGACGAGACGGAGTGTGAATCCCAGGGTCATGCCTGCACGTGGGGGTGTGGGCGCAGGTCCGACTCGGTCTGACCTGTCGGCTCGCCCCCCGGCCCTGGAGGATGCCACGTGGCTCTAATCGCTGGGCGACGAGCCCTGCACACCTGTGTTACTGTCCCTGTGTCCCAGGACAGCACTGTGCCCCTTAGCTAAAGGCCAGCTTGGTGGCATGCCCAAAGCACCTAGAATGGCTGCAAAAATTGCAGTAAGAAAAACAGAATAGTCCTGTGTCTCATGGAGGGGAGGAAAGACTCAAGAAGCTGGAATGGGATCCAGTTACAGCGGCAGGCACCCAACGGAAGGAAAAAGTCCTCTGGGTCAGCTGTTGCTGGCTTTGGAGTAAGAAGCCAAGGAGGACAGAAGAGGAGACGTGGGGCCGAGGCCAGCGGCAGCCCCGGGTGAGGGTCAGACACTCTGGGGACAGGGGACACCTCAGCTACCTGGTAGACGCTCAGAGCAGGTAGAGTCAACCATGGGGGATCCATCCCATTACAGGGCTTTACTGCCTGCTCAGTCCTCCACCAGCTGTGAACCGTTAAAAATTTCTTCTGACTCTAATTTGAAAAGACACCTGCACCCCAATGCTCATAGCAGCACTAGTTACAACAGCCAAGACATGGAAACAGCCTAAATGTCCATCGACAGATGACTGGATAAAGAAGCTGTGGTATATTTATACAATGGAATACTACTCAGCCACGAAAAATAATAAAATAACACCATTTGCAGCAACATGGATGTCCCTGGAGAATGTCATTCTAAGTGAAGTAAGTCAGACAGAGAAAGAAAAATACCATATGAGATCGCTCAGATGTGGGATCTAAAAAAAAGACACAAATGAACTTATTTACAAAACAGAAACAGATGCATGGACACAGAAAACAAACTTATGGTTACCAGTGGGTAGAGGGGGTGGGAAGGGATAAACTGGGAGTTTGGGATTTGCGGATACTGACTACTATGTATAAAATAGATAAACAACCAGGGCCTACTGTACAGCACAGGGAACTATATTCAGTATCCTGCAGTCACCTATAATGAAAAAGAATATGAAAAGGAATACATGTGTGTGTACGTGTGACTGAAACATGATGCTGTGCACCAGAAATTGACACAACGCTGTACACTGACTAGACTTCAAAAAAAAATGTCTTCTGTGACCAAGCACGTCTTGCTCCCAATTTCAACCCACAGATTATGTCACACGCATGGTGGTTATTTTTCCAACAGCATGTTTGTGACCGTATACTGACATCGGACAGTAGTTCCTTGACTAGGCTGGATGTGTGCGTGGCGGGGAAGTAAATTCTACCTACTTGAGACCACGCGGGAGACCAACGCTGAAAACCCCGAGCCGTCCCCCGGTGCCCTCTGCGCCCGCTGCACCTGCTTCTGCCTGGAGCCCTCCCAAGGCCGTCCACTTCCTGTTACCGCTATTGAAACCACATCTCCCACGTATGTGTGATGAAACGTATGTGTCCAAACTGAACTGAAACACGCAGGATGCGCGTAACAGGATAACCCTGCTGTCGCAGCTTAAGGGGTCCTCCCATGCTGCCCCCAGCTGTGCTTCCAGAAGTCTGGCTTTTGCAGTTAGACGGCGCGCAGGCTGCAGAGGGGCGGCCCGGGCGCCCGACACCCTTCCACTTAAAGGGCCACGGCCGTCGGCTTTTGTGCGTGAGACGCTTGTGACACTCGGATGCAGGCCGGCATCTGCATGTACTCACTTGGAGGAGAAGGCTCTGTAATAAAAAGCAAAAGTGCGTCAGTTGTTCAGCTAATAAAACAGGCTACGGTTTAAAAGAACGATTACTTTGAATGACTACTTTAAAAAAATTCGTCAAAGACTGGAATTACTTTCAATGACATCACAGAAGAAAACTGACACTGAAAAGTTCAAAAGGGTGCTTTTTAACATCGGGTGAACCTGCCACTTACCCACTGGGACAGTGGAGGGAGGGGGTGTGTCATGAACACACGGCAGGGCCAGCGTGGTGCCCGAGGGACGGGCAGAGGCCAGCAGAGGCCACATGTACAAAACAACACATAAAACACTTAAAGATGCAGGACATGACGAGGGGAGAGTGCAGCTCAGTGGGAGAGCGCGTGCTTAGCATGCACGAGGTCCTGGGTTCAATCCCCCATGCCTCCACTAAAATAAATAAACCTAATTACCTCTCCCGCCAAAATAAAAAATAATAATAATTAACTAAATAAAATTAAAAGGGGGGAAGGTACAGCTCAGTGGTAAAGTGTTTCCCTAGCGGGCACAGGGTCCTGGGTTCAATCCCCAGCGCCTTCATTACTAACTAAAAATAAATAAACCTAATTATCTCCCCCCTAAAAAAAAACCAAACAAACAAAAACCAGAAAAATAGTTTTTAAAAAAAGAGAGAAACATAACCTGCCTCCTCAGAGAAAGGAAGCCTCAAGAAACAAAGAAAGTCATAAGTAATAAATGGTCAGTAATCTGTCGAGTTTTAGGAACTAAACGTAACACTGCACAGATGTTAAGATGGACATGCCCCAAAACAAGACTGGGTCTACCCGCGACCAAGACTTAACGATCAGAACAGGAGGGCATTTTGACAGCTAATCACAGGGACACGTCTAAACAGTGCAAAGTTTAGTAACGAAGTTTGAGAGGCGCTGAGAATGGAACGGTTCCGAGTCTGAACTGTGCGCTCTTTTCGGGAGCGGAGGGCTTCCGAGGACGCAGCCCCCGAGAAGAGCGAGCACCGCACGGGCCAGAACCCTCTGGATCCGGGAGATGAAAGCGGACCTCACGGGTGTGGCACCCACAGGAGGCATCAGAACTTTTGACAACTGAGAGAAAACGGACAGCCGCAGACAGAACGACCCCCGCTGTCCATCCGAACAAGGAGGGAAAACCAGAGCGCGCATTACCCCCCGTGCGCCTGTGACCCAGCGCTCCCGTGGGTTCCGCACGCGGGCTCCAGACCCCGCGCTGCGAGACAGGCGGTGAGAGCCGGGCGCCCCGTCTCGGGGGCCACGCGTGTCACCTGGGGCTCCCTCGGCGCCTTGGGGGGCCTCCGGGCCTGGGCGCGGCGCGGCGTCCTGGCGCCCCTGGGGGTCCCCCGGGGACGGCGCCGGCGCGGCTGCTCCGGACGTCTGCGGGGCCCTCTTGTCTGCGTCCGGTCGCTGCTGTAACCACTCATCCTTGTATCCGTTGCTAATAAGTTTGGCAAACTCTGTGGGTGAACTGGGTTTTTGACCAGGCCTCAAAAAGAGAAAAATTAACGTCAGCTGAAGTGCAGGAGGCAACGACGACCCAGAAGCGTTCCCAGCGAAGGCACGGGTGGCGAGTCAGATGTGTTGCTGCCCCCAGGACGTAAGGGGGAGTCTCTCTCAGCCCTCCCTCCGTATCTAAGCGGAAGGAGGCACCCCTCCGAGCATCCGCTGTACACAGTGAGCAGGTCCTCAGTTCAGTTTCCAAAACCTTCCTCCCTAACAGCCGATCAGAGAAAGGATTCCACCACTTCGCGGGGACGCCTTCCTCAGAACACACCGCCCCTCCCCTGGGTCCAATGAGGGGCCCAGACGCTGCCATTTTCCGACAGATTAGGACCTTCTGTGTGAGCCCCTCCTTGTTCACCGTGAAGGTCATCTGCTGCCTCTTTGCGCAGCTTCGCCCTCCCTGTGTCACTGACCCCTGTGGCTGCGTCTCCGCAGATCTCAACAGAGAGCGGCGGGGAAGGTGACAGTCGGACAGGTGACACCCGTCACCTGGCCTCTCCGAGCCTCGGGCTGTAAATCACTGGTCACTTACTCTGATGTTAAGGGTCTTCCTACCGGCGCTGGTGGGCTCTCTACAGGTGGATAAACATACAGACCTGGACACACAGGTGTTTGTAAGTTGTTTTGTGCTCCCAGCCTGAACATGGGGCCTCGTACAATCTGTCTCATGTAATGTAACTGACGGATTGTCCCCACGCCCCTCCCCACCGCCCCCCCACAGGACGAGAAGCCGTGTGAAGAGTTAGTCAGACAATCCGTGGCACTGACTCTGGCCCTGAACTAGGATTCTGGGGACGTGAAGAGGAAGGGGCTTCACTCTCCAGCTGGGGGATTACCGAGCGTCAGAGCGCCCGACAGGTCCTCCAGCTACAGACCCGAGCACGGACCCAGGGTCCAGGCCTGGTGACAGAGAATGTCAGGGCTGAGCGGCACACACGTGGACGGACACGTGGCCCAGCGCTGAAGGCGAGCTTTGGTGAGGGTGGGTCCCCAGGTGGGGCGCAGGCTGACATTGGCGAGAGCTCGCGGGACCAGCGCTACATTCGCCGGGCAATGGGGTGGACGCCGTCCGCAGGGGCCCAGGGGCCGTCGGGGGAGAGGGAAACGGAACAAGAAGCCAGCAGCCGGGGTCGGGCCATGGGAAGCTGCAACATCCAAGTTGCTGGTGGGGAGCATCACCGGGCCAACATCAGCATCGCGTGTTGCAGCCGTGTCCTCACTGCTGCCACGTGGACCAAAGCCCCACGCCCAGACCCCCCGGATCCAGACGGCCTCGGCGCCGCCCGGGCACTCACATGGGCGGCAGGGAGAGTCTGCTTCCTGCAGGGTCCTTGGGGCCCAGCGGGGTCCCCACTCTGCCGGGGTGCTTGGAGTTGATGGCTGGCAGCCTCACCTGTGCGGAGACACACACAAGGCCCTGATTTAGGGGAGGGCGTCCAGCAGCTCGGCTGCTCGAGGGGAGGGAACACACAGAAGCCAGAGCACGAGCCACGCAGGACGGGACTGCAGCGCGGCCTTACTTCACTGGCTAACAGCGCCAGTAAAACGCAGCTCAGCGATAACCCCACCACACGTGACGGTCCCGTCAGAGAGACCTGAGGGATTCAGGGGCAGCTGCGGTGTTCCAGGAAAGACGCACCAGCCTGGGGGGAGGCAGGGGACAAGTAACAGTGAGAAATGCTAAGGCTGTAAACTGGAGCAGCCACTATGGAGCGCAGTAGGGAGGGTCCTAGAGCAATCCAGCCATCCCACTCCTGGGCATGTATCTGGAGGGAACCTTAATTCAAACAGACAGCTGCAGCCCAATGTTCACAGCAGCAGCATTTACAACAGCCAAGACATGGAAGCAGCCTAAATGCCCACCAACAGATGACTGGATAAAGAAGATGTTTATTTATACAATGGAATACTACTCAGCCATGAAAAAGAATGAAATAATGCCATTTGCAGCAACATGGATGGCCCTGGAGATTGTCATTCTAAGTAAAGCAGCCAGAAAGAGAAAGGAAAATACCATATGAGATCGCTCATATGTGGAATCTAAAACAAAAAAGAACACAAATGAACTAATTTACAAAACAGAAACAGACTCACAGACATAGAGAGCAAACTTATGGTTACCAGGGGGAAAAGAGCATGAGAAGGGATAAACTGGGAGTTCAAGATTTGTAAATACACACTACTATATATGAAACAGATAAACAGCAAGGTCGTACTGTAGCGCACAGGGAACTCTATTCAATATCTGGTAACAGCCTATAATGGAAAAGAATCTGAAAAAAAAATCATATACATGTATAACTGAATCACTATGCTGTACCCCTGAAGTTAACACAACATTGTAAATTGACTAGACCTCAATAAATAAATAAAAGCTCCAAGCATCTGGGGGCGGGGGGGGGCGGGGGGAGTCATCCATTCCATTGATGGTGCAAATGACCCAAAGCCAGCATCAGGGCTGGAGGTGAGGTAGACCACCCTGGGGTACACGGCTGGCCCGTTGCAGACAACAAGCATTCCTCATGGTGTTCAACCTCCCGAGCCCCAAAATAAACTGCCCGGGTTTCTCTCCAAACCAGACACGGAGAAGTGAGGCCAGGGGCGGACACAGGGCGTCCTGGCACCACGAGGCCAGAGCCAGGCAGCACGCAGCCTCTCCCTCGTCAGTGAGGACGGCCAGGCCTGCGCGTCACCAAAATGCTGCTGCGCATTTGATTGTGACTATCACCGGTCCACCCAGAAATCCTCACATCCCAGGAAGGACGGGGGGGCCTCAGACCTCAGAGCTCAGCAGCCCTGGGCATCGAAGGCCTTCCAGCCAAGACAGCACGACCACGGGGCCCCCGCCAGAGACGGCCTGTGCGTTCCCAGCGCGCACTGGAAACGCACATTCCTGCAAGCCTGTCTCCTCGGAGCCCGCGCGACCTCAAGGTCGGCGCACCCGGGGGTGTGCACAGAAGAGGGCGCCATCCCAGTTCCCTCACGTCAGCAAAGAGGACTCCAGGGAGCTTCAGCTGAGAGCCTCAGACAGAGTGGGCTTGTCCAGAGACGGGACAATGGATCAACACGGAACGTCCCTCCCGCATTCGCCGGGGGAGAAGGGGCAGCCAGCGTCCCCCAGGTGAGCTCCAGCCCTTAGTGAGGCGCAGTCTCACCTCGCAGGGTCCACAATCACAAGGAGAACAAGGAAGCTAACGTCGCGTGGCCTCGCGTCTCAGCAGGTCACACCTAACACACGCAGGACCCGAGGGACATCACAGCCACGAGGGGCACGAGGCACGGGGCGAGTTCGGGGCGGCCAGCAAGGCCAGGCGGCTAGTTAGGGGCCCATCACCTTTTTCTTCTCCTTTTCCAGTTCCTCGGCCTCCCTCTGCCAAACCGTCTTCACGTCAAAGTCGAACGGCCCCCTTCTGCACTCGTAGCTGCCGTCGGCCCGGTCGGGGCTGAACTCCTGGTACACCATGTAGTCAGGCAGGGACACAGCCGGGATTCTGCAGGAGCAGACGGAAGGGCCGGCGGTGCTCAGTGCCACCTGCCTGCTTCCCTCCTCCCTCCCTCCCACCCCCAGCAGTAGCACTGCCCCCCAACGAAACTGAAAATCTGCTCCCCTCATCCTCTGGGCCCCCACTTCTGCGGGGACAGAACCCCAGCCCCTAGCGGGGATGGGGAGGGGAGCAGGGAGGCAGGGTGGGGGGCCTCCAGGATGCGGTGCCTAGCAGTGCCCCGCCAGGTCTGAGCAAGGGGGAGATGCTGGGGGATCAGCAGAGACAGGAAAGAAGGGCTCCCACCAGTCCCGAGACAGTGGCTGGAAGGAGGGAGCTTGGAGGCCAGGGATGCAGGCGGGGAGGTGACGGCAGGACCCAGGAGGAGACGCCACACTCAGGCCCGCCCTGCGCAGGTGTGAGGGGGGCGGGCAGCGGGCCCTGGGCTCCACCCACTGCGTGTCAGGGACCGAGGAGCCCTCCCGTGTCCAGGATGCGCTCCGGGCAAGAAGAAGCCCCCAGGGACAAAATAACAGAGGGGGTCCAGTTCCAGAAAGGAGTGAGGCAGGGTCAAACCGCAGCTCCACGGAAGAAAAGCTCTTCCCCTCCACCTGCCAGCCCCACATCCTCTGAGCGTCCAGAAGAGCCCAGAAAGGAGGCGCCCTGGGCGCCTGGGGGATGCGTGAGGACTTGGGTGGGCGGGAGCAGACAGCAGGGACGGGGGCAGACGGGAACAGAGGCCAGGAGGACCACGTGGGGACAGCAGGGAGGAGGGGGTGCCAGCCCACTGGCCCCTCCAGGAGCCCCAGCCGCAAAGCCCCCGTCGCCCAGAGCCCACCACGGGCGCAGGCTCCCTCCCCGGGCTGCAGGGTGCCGCGTGGACGCTGCGAGTCCGGGCGCC